GCCTCCTTGAAGAAGCCCTGCATGGGATGTGTTCCCTGTAGGAAATATCACCTGAGCCTCACAGGAAACAGAATGGGAGAGTAGTGACAAAAGTGACAGTAGGCAGATGAGGAGCCATTCATTGACTACTCAGAGAAACTGGGCTGAAAGAAATGCCCTACAACAGAAGCCATCAATGTGTTTCAAAGTGGAAAAAGTAACAGGCACTAGTAACCTACCAAACCCAAGGATCACCGATGCTGGACCACAATTGTACCAGTCAGGTAAAATCTATCTTTACCTTTGGACTCCTCTTCCCCTTCAACACCCTCACATCTCAACCCTGAAAGGACCACAAACAGCAGCTAGCTGTTCAAAGAAGAGCAAGAAAATGCAAAGAGAATTATCAAGTATCCTTATCCTTTACAAATTATAGATCTCTAAGTTCTACTGTAGAAGTTTAAAATTGGATGTAAATCTAAAATTTTGGCCTTTTCCTCACTCAGAAGTGATTGGGAAAGCTACGGGAATGGCCTGAAGTTTTATTTATCACCAGAGCCAGGAGATGAATTTGCAGAGTGGATTTTCCAGAACAACAGTAAGAAACATAAAGTTGTTTTTGCTCTGGTCTCACTAGGTTTAGCTCACACATTATATTAAGTAATTATCACATATAGATAATATCTTACATGTCATAAGCTCTTATTGTTATCCAAGCACTACTATTAATAGCTTATTAACTTACTTTATCCTCACAACAGCTCTATGAATTAAGTCACCTAATGTTTGTTCTGCAAATGAAGAAACTGAAGCACAAAGAGGCCAAGAGATTTGTACAATGTCACAATTAGACATTGTGGTTGGGATTCATTTAGGCATTTGGCGGCAGAGCTCACACCCTTGCCTATTATGTGATTCCTAAGGTACTGGGCAGAAAATTGATTGCTTCAGGGGAAGGGATGAGAGAAGATAAAAATGAAGAAGAGGACAGAATAATGGAGGGGAAAGGTAATGAGAGAGGGAGGAGAAATGTGAAATGAGGAAATGATAGAAGACCATGGTTGGCCTTGTATGATAACCAGAGAAAGTTGGCCACATTCTTTTTTTTTTTTTTTTTTTTTTTTAAAGAATGCTTTTAGTTGTAGGTGAACACAATACCTTTATTTTATTATTTAGTTTTATATGGTACTGAGGATCAAACCCAGTGCCTCACACATGCTAGGCAAGTGCTCTGCCACTGAGCCACAACCCTGGCCCCATATGCCACATTCTTAACAAGGAAAATATCATATCTTGATACCAGCTGGGTTGGGAGGGGAAGATATAAGTACCTCATAGTTCTGAAAAACACCTAAAAATTGCACATTTGGGCATCAATATTGATTTTCTCTCTAATTTTACTTAACTTAGAAGTTTCATTCCTTTGGGAAAAAAAATGACACAAAAATTAGCAACATGATAACAACAGATGAAATGACCTGTTAGGTTTTGATTTAGGAAAGTACTGATTAGATGAAGATTCTCATGAAATATTTTTCTGTTTTCTTGAATAGAAACCATGGTTGTATTCCAGGTGAAAATGAAACAGACAAACAAATAACAAACAAAAGGAAAGAGAATATGGGACTCTATAAGGGAAGCTAGAATGGATAACAAGAAGGAATGTTTTAGAGGAAAATATAGAGTTAGGAGCTAAGTACTACCAGAGGAACAAACTCAGAAAAAGAAAGCAATGGAATGTTAAAGATCTTAATTTTGGCTTTTAAACAGACCTAGAATAATTTGCTATAAATTACTTGTGTAGAAAGGTTACCAAAAGGTATGCTGCAATGATTTACATATGTGGGGAGAGGCATTTATATGTTTTTGACTGAAAAAAAAATGGCATTCACTATTTTGATTAGTTCTACAAGTAGGCCCATAGAATTTCTAAACTTTACAGAATATGAAATGAGGAAGCTAGGAATGAGGAAAATGTGGAGTATGATCTTTTATCTTCCCTCAGGATAAAAGTATCAGGAACAGCATCACTCTTGGAGTTTAAGTTCTTAAGAAATGTCTATATTCCTTAGAGTTAAAAAGCCTTTGCTTATATAAGTTATAAACAGCATTGTTCACTGCAGTAATGGTTTAAACTGAGAAATTAAAAGTTTAAAATAATCTAAAAATTTTGTCTCTTTCTTGCTTGCTTGCTTGCTTGCTTACTTGCTTTTTTGGTACTGAAGATTGAATTCCGAGGCATTCAACCACTGAGCCACATCCCGAGCCCTATTTTGTATTTTATTTAGAGACAGGTTCTCAGCGAGTTGCTTAGTGCCTCCTGGTTGCAGAAGCTGGCTTTGAACTGGCAATCCTCCTTGCCTCAGCCTCCCAAGCTGCTAGGATTATAGGCGTGCACCACCATGCCTGACTAAAATTTGATCTTTTTCTAGGACAAAAATTAGTGAGTGGAGTGATATTCTTTCACAGCTTTGCAAATTTCATTAATCTCTGGCTTAATATAAGACAGCTGGATTGTCATGTCTGCTTCTATGCCAGGTCTATTGTAAAATCACACATATAGCCTCTGGGAAATTCCACCATACTCTTAACAAGAAAGAAGAAATGTCTTTGCACTATGATAAGACAGTTTTAGATTTTTAAAAAAAAAGTCCTCTAGAATATATTTTGAAAACTTCTTAAGCACTTAAAGACATAAAAAGAAGTTTAAGAGTTGAATAATAAGCATGCTTCCTTTTATTTTCAAACTAGGTTTTATGAAGTATAGACCTCAAATTTCATGTATCTCTAATTTTAAATGCTCCTCAAAATTGTATGGTTATGGGAAATTATGCACAGGTAATTTATAATATTGTATTAATGACATAGTACAACTAGGTAATATCTGATTAAGGACATATAATATCTTTTCAACATGTTGATTTTAGATACTTTGAATCATGAGGATTCAAC